ACGTGGGGTGAGATAGTGTCAGGGCACCCACACCTAGACAGGAGACTCCTCAGTCAAAGCCTTTAGCTCAAAAGCCTGACCTTTGGGCGGCGATGTTCAGGGGATAACGCAGGTGCATTACCATTCCTATAGAACACGTCGCTACACATGCTCCAACCCACAACCTGTTCACCTAGGAGACTGTGTTGCTGAGATCTCTGTCAATTGGCCAATCTGGCATGTTGCAAGGACACCACTCAGTCTAGCTCAGTGGTCTACCGATGCACATACCACGGTAAGATCCAGTCCCCTCGTGGTGGTCAGCATCAGAAAACATCCCCTTTTCTTGACGTTTCATGCAGCTGCATTTAGCCGGCGGTGAACACCCCCTCATCGACCGCAGTTCCAAGGGGCTGCAACATGCTTCGGCAATAATCTTCGGCATATCTTAAAAATATGACAGAATATGCAGTTCCAATACATCTCCTGCACGACCTTGGACTTTTCTTACAACCTAAAGGATAGTTCATCCACGTGACCATGCAACATTACCACCAAATCAAATTGCTAGTGAGATGATAACAATAGTTTGTACATTAATATTGTTCCACGAACGTGTTGTTGAGGTGGCACACCGAGATTTTCATTTGGCGTTTCGGCTTCAGGTGGCTGCTGTTTTGTTTGTCAAGCATGGCAACTAGTTTGCAAACGTTTCGTCACTAATTGAGACAGTGTAACAACCAAGGGCGAAGCGGTAATGTCTCTTCGATTAGCCAACCACCACTGATCGATCAGCCATAGAAGCACCCTTGGGAGAGCCCAGTATTGACACTTTGAGAGCCACAATAACAATTGTTTAAGTCAGTGAAGACACTCACAAATCTGGTCTCGATTAGGAAAATACGGCTCACGGAATAGGGAGGGCTCTCAACGGTCTGGAGCTCAATGTCAGTCGTATCCGGCATGTTCTCGAAACTAGATATTATTCGTCCGGGCCTTGTTTCTTATTTTTAAAAACACAGTGGACACCCAATTTCAAGTAGAGGCCATTTGTTCGGCAACACAGTGACATGCGCCTCAGAGCACTGCCTGGAAACTTTGAATGTATGCCGTCAACTTCAAGGAGATATTCGACACCCATTGTTAGAACCAGTCAGCACCCTAATATGCTGGCGAATCCCTTCACCGATTCATGATAAGATCGCCATCACGTGATTTACTGCATAATCGAAATTGGTGGTAAGGAAACTGTCAATAGAGTTCTCTAACTTCAACCTATGCGAGTTTTTATAGCAGAATCGGCCGCGAAACGTAGACCTGTGTGGCTGAGAGAATGAGTTAGTCAACGGAGACATGTCGATAATTTGGATTCCATTTTTATACCCAGCCAAAGCTTCCGCGTTGTTCACAAGGCACCTGCCAATCAACCCAGATCAGTACAGCAGCGCACAATTGGAGTGGCTGAAGCTATCGCCATACGACATCGCGACCCGATCCTTTGCCGGCAAAAACGCTTTGTTCGTGTGTTGTACTTACCATGATCTAACTCACCTCCCCTCACACATGCACCTCGTGCTGAACGCACAACTGCAGCACTCCCCGCGCTGACTAGCTCAAGTCATCCTATTGGTGACCTGAACTAATTGTTCTTTGGTAGGTAGCCAAAGTCGTCTCACCCGATTTCCCGCATATTTACATCATACTCATTCAGATATGTTAAATACTGTACTGCTTTCTTAACCTTTGCAATTGTATGACTTGAAAAAACCTTGCCGAAAACATGTTCGTCAACCCATCTGCGTTCTTATCTAGGAGACTTCGAATTGGATGAGGACCTCGTCTTTTCAAAGAGACGAAGCGCTAAGCCGTTGTAACTAACTGTTGCCTTTGCTCCAGTGCCTTAATGTCGGAAAAGGACTCGTCTACAAGGAACACAATAGCCACATTACGGACAAGTTACAAGGGGCCTCACAGAATTTGAATTTGACCCGGGTTGTCTACTCGGTTTTGGGTGAACACCCATCATTGTTGGTCGTGCTTGTGTGGCATGACTGAACAGTCATCATCGTCGACCGTCGCTGAATCGATTGACTGCCCGACTGGCCTGGATGCTTGACGGCTTCCCTTCTGCGATTTCGACGGAGTTTGAGGGTCACAGTAAGTTTCGGTCATTCTAGGATTGTTTTCAGTAATCCGGCCTTCCCGAGAAGGAAAAACAAAGCCACGATTGATAAACTGAAGCTATGTTCCTTTTGTCATGTCAATGACTTTTAGAGTGTAGGGTTGGGACCAGGTTTTTGGATAAAATGAAGTCCACAACCCCACTCGGAAACTGAGGACAGACAGATATGGTGTAAGCATAATTATGGCCGAAGGCCTCTCATTTTTTCGCTCTATTCAGCAAATCACGTGACTAATTTTTCCTCATTTAGTGTATTAGTTTACTGTTGATGATGGCCATAACACAAATCAGAAGGCAGGTGGGCTAATAAAAGTTTTTAGTATGGTTTACAATGGTGAGATACCACGCGTATAAAAATAGACGTAATGCAAAACGGGAGCAAGTCAAAAGAGGATCTTATCGTCTACGAGAGTTCCTTGGTGAAAGTCCGGACGGCGGGAACTTGTTTTCTCCGCCGTACGGCTGCTACACGTGTTCCATAATTGTCCGTGGACTTGTGGAGAGTGTTTGACTTCCTGCTCCCTGCACGCGCGCGAATCTCTGTGCTGACTGCGTTCGGTTTTCCCTATATGCAGGTCCGTTTGCGTGTACGTGGGTGTGTCAGCACATGAGCTGTTGCTAGGCTCACTAGACGGTACAGACAATCGATGTCCGATGAGTCACCTTAATGTGACGTGGTTTGTGAGTACGAAAAAGACAAGTTTCGTGATCCAGTGAGCGACTGTAAGCTGAACTGTCAAGTATGTGGGTGACTGGGTAGCCAAAAGTGAAGGGAGTCAGTATTTCGTCTAATTTTTGTCATTCTTTTTTATTGTTTGAGGAGATTTTGAAATTTTAATGGAGTTTCCGTCCTGTAAGTGAAACCCATATATAGTGGAAAGCCGGGAGGCAGTGCACATCTCACGAGACTCCAGGATACATTCAACATGCAGTACCCTGCCTAGAAGTTTGAACGCCGACACCTTCGGCCAGGAGCAGCCAATCTCCGGTGTGATTCACTCGCTCGCATTCAGACAGGATTTAACGCCCTTCAATCATACGGTGACATGTGTTTGACTGTCTGCACGAGAAACGACTTGTCGAATGGAAATTCTACCCATCTGATGGATCTAATTCTCTTTGTGGGCTACTTATGGCTTGTTGGTAACGTTGGCAGAAATGTTTTCAACTTATTTGGGTTTTTAAAACTTCTATGAGTTTTCAGAAACTCTATTCAAGTAAGGCACAACTCATAAGGTTGCTGAAAACCCCTAGACAGCAACCCTATGACTAGTGCATTACAAAAACATACACGTATCGCGGTATCTCGAATATAGTAGTGACTGAAACATGAGGTGGCCTGGTGCAGCACATTCAGTTGCCTGGAAACCGGAAGATCCAGCGGGGTTCCAGGTGAGCCTCTCGAAGAACCAAATTAGTTTGCAAATGAGTGTATTTCACCTTATTCGGGCAGTTTGGGTGATGCAAAGTAAACGGACAAGTTTTTTTTACCATGGAGGCAGATTAGCGATAAACTCTTACCATCTATTGAAATCCTTCAATAAAAATTTTCCAAACGCGGATACGTATAAGAAAATTTGCATAGCGGCCAGTCGTTTAGTAAGGCCGCAAGCCAATTTTGCATGCTAACCATTCAAGTTATACACTATCGCATCGTTGATACTACTGATGGGGGATGCATTCGAGTAGTATGTTTTCTCGTAAATCCACTTTGCATCTCTTGAAAAGTGAGGTCTATTGCGGAATTAGTGGAGCCGCTGTGTAGCATTTGCTTGGAGTTGAGCAACAATCAATGAATATCCAGGAAAGTTCAGGAATACGCGCTCAAAGAGAAGATGGATATTCAGTTTTTGTAAACAAGATGCATATGCGAGTTTTGCTTTCCTGTCCAATAGTCTGTAACTGTTCAGTTGGCATTTTCTAATAAATGACTCCGCAACGAAGGCCTTCTTCCTCTCACCATAACTGACCACTTGTCGGTCGTCTGTATTCAATACCAGACTGGCTTCACGAGTCAGAGTGTCTTCTGGAATAATAGGACTCAGTGATTATTGAAGCTTTCTTCGGTACTGAATGTTACGAACGTCACGGTTATGATAGCTTTTGTCTCCAAGTTTAACACTGGGGAGAAAGCACCGGATTCGTACAATGTTTAGTCTGGAACCACTCATGTCTCGCCGTAAAGTCAGGTAAACGCAGTTCAGTACAGAGTACTATTACGATCAGAGAACCCCACCGGATCGCCGCCACCACATGATGCCACAGTGGTTGTTTACGGGAATTTGTATCGCTCTGAAACATCACGACCGGTATCAGCAACAGCATCACTTAGAGGGAAATGGGTAAGGCCCACTGTTCCTCAGGTGTATAAACAAATTACGAGTTTAAACTCTACAGCTTTAAAGAAAAAATCGAATTCGAACGAAGGTGCCCGAAAATGGACAGCGACGGATTTTTGCAGCCAAACAACGTCGAGGAAAATTCGTCGACCTCAGCAACCTTATGAGTTGTGCATTACAAAAATATATATGATTCGTTATATCTCGAATATCGTAGTGACTGAAACATGAGGCGGCCTGGTGAGCACATTCAGTTGCCTGGAAACATCACAAACGAGAGATTCAGCTGGGTTCCAGATGAGTCTCTCCAAAAAACCAATTTAGTTTGCAAATGAGTGTATATTCGCTAACTTCGTGCAATTTGGTTTCAAGTAGAACATAAGGTTAACGGAAACCCGGGGACTGCGCCTATCTGATGAGCCCGAAGTGGAAGGGCGAAAGCGGTCGTGGGCTGTAGGGGATTTTTCAACAACCTTGTGAGTAGTGCAGGCGGTCGTGTAGGGGATTTTTCAACAACCTTGTGAGTAGTGCATTGCAAAAATATATGTCTATGCACAAGCCTAGTCTGGAGCAGTCGAGACGTAGAGTTTGGGTTCGAACCACGGAAATTCGGGTCAAATAAGTTCGAGCCTTAACAGTCAGTAACATTTGAACAAGTCCATCAACGAGTGAAACTCTTCCAGTCACGTCACTGTGATAAGCCGTTCCTTTACTAAACCCTGGTGTGGATTTTGCAATGGCAAGATTCAGGAGTAGCCAGCATCACATCAAGGGTGAACGTTTAGTAAGTTGGCTCCATTCATCTATCTACTTGTACATTGTCAGTAGCTTACGATTAATCCGACATCTTCGAAGGTGTATCCCAAGGGGCAATGACTCCCTTTACATTCCCAGGCAGAACTGAGACGGATTCATCAGGTTTTGAGGAACAAAGCGAGGGACAGCAGAACGATCAGAATGCAGCATGCAAACGTTCAGATCTCGGGGATAGTCAAGTCCCAGTGGTTCCTAACGCAAAATGCATCACGTACCAGAAATTCCCTCGCAGTCACATCATTTATTCACCAGCATTTGGTATGCATTCACAGAATAGCACATCCGCTAGTTCCCTGCGGAAAACGGAAGCGACTAAACTGAGATATTCTTGTGGAAAATGCGACCGAAATCAGGCAAAAATGACACACGAATCACACATGGAATTACACCGTGAAACCTGACGGCCACGACAGCGAATGCGCGGGACTGAAGCGAAAATGGCATGCCAAAATGATCCATTTAAACAAAATCCGGACAAACTGTCGATGGTTGTGGGCAACTTAAGTTTTCTGAGTGTAACGGGTGAGTATCTCCGCCTGTCACGTGGTAGATCCGGGTTCGATTCCCGGTCGGGGAGCCACTCGAAGGCGCCGGTGACCGTCACGTATCATTCATTACGTTGACAATTGAAATTCCCCATGTTTATTCCGTTCACATTTGTAATCTCGCCCCAATTTTTGTGTTTAGTGTGTGTAAATGAACTGACGTTTGTTTGTCCTTACAACTTCACCCATTTGGCCCTAAGGTCATCCAACCATTTGTGACCGACTTTGTGCACATGTGACTGTCGCACGTGGGAGCCTGTTTGCTCCTTTGTTTGTGCTTTTGTAGTCCAAGTGGACCATTTGTTTTGGATGAGTATCTACTGTCGAGGTTTGTATAATTTGTGAATTTGTCTTATTTGTGAATTGTCTTACAATAATAGCAGTACCGTATAGAAAGCCAGCTCTGAAGTTGTTTTGCCTTCCCGGAGGTTCTGGTATTACGTGTCACTCGAAGATACAGTTCGCCCGTTACACTGAGTATGCTAAACACTGCCACAATTTGTGAGGAAGTTTTCTTCGGAAGCCCGACGGTTTTCGATGGATTTCTGGTAAACATTTAAGGATCCGCGTGGATGAGGTTGACAGCTCTCCAACCAGTGATGTGTGCACTATACACGCACGTCTGCATATTGGTACGAAATTGCAGCGTTCCAGTTTGATGTTTGGAACAATGTGAGAGATTTTCTGTTTTTTTTTCATTTGTCCCGAGATTGCCGCACTGTAAATAGTCCCCCATGTGTTAAATCCTCAAGATATCAGGGTTTTGGGTCCCTTCCTGAGCTTCTAAAAGTTTATTCAGCATTGGTCCTCGAAATGAAAGCGGTCAAAAGGAAATAAGCTGCCATTTCATGACAAGCTGAAACGTTGTGACAGGGGGGTTAACCGGAGAAACCGAAAAGTTAAATGGCTGGCTGGCATGATACGTGGTCCGATCGATTAGAAGGGTTTCACACCAGCAGAAAAGATCGGTGCGGTCTGGCGGAACAGTTACCGGCAGCGCATGTCACTGAGCACCATTTATAAAGGTGTGTGGAAGCCGCTTGTGAAGACCGCTTGGTGGGAACATTTTATGAGTAGTGACCTTGTGAGGGCACAAGTCTCCATAGACTTCACAGTTGTGCACAAATTTGATGTTGTTATTACTGACGGGTGGTACGCGTGGTGAAGACGGAATAAGCCAGAGGTGTGGAATTTCATTGAATGTTCACTGTAAGCTAACCGACTGCACAGATTTATCGGCGAACATGTGATCTGGAGCGCGAAAGCCTGAAGATGGTCCACCAAGTTCATCTTTTGGGCCTTAAAAACAGTCGCTGTTATCGAACCAAGCTTGTACCGATCAAAGTCCTGCCCACCGCAGAATAAAACTTTCTGACTACTCGTCATGAGTCACATGATCCGACGAATAATTCCAAAATGGTTGGTCGAGGAATCACTCCAGCTACACAAGCCATTTGGCGCGGTGCAGAGAGCTTCCAAAATCTCTGGTGCTGTCCAATCTTGGAATTTGTCTTAGGCTCTAGGAAGAACTGCCAGTTTGATGGGGAAAAGCGATCCTCTGCTTTTCAGTCTTGAAGTTTCGATCGCCTAAATACCATTTTTTTCACTATCCCATTCCTCACACTCATAGAGGGTATTATGCCACATTGCTGTCGGCTACGAAAATGATGGCCAAGCACAGGGAAAGAACGTGTGGACCTCACCTAGATAAGTGATTACAGCGGCAGCTCTCAAACACTCTACACTCCCTTCCAGTATTTACCAGCAAATATCTTCGTTCGAGCCATTCGGTCCCCCTACTTTGAAGTTGGCAAGTAGAGCGAGAGTGAAACAGAGCCTGATGCAGTAGCTCACAGATGTACTGCAACTCATGATATTCCTGCACGCTTACTAAATGTCCGGAGGCCAGCCGTCCCTAATAACCGAACATCTACACTTCCTTCCAGTATTTACCAGCAAATATCTTCGTTCGAGCCATTCGGTCCCCCTACTTTGAAGTTGGCAAGTAGAGCGAGAGTGAAACAGAGCCTGATGCAGTAGCTCACAGATGTACTGCAACTCATGATATTCCTGCACGCTTACTAAATGTCCGGAGGCCAGCCGTCCCTAATAACCGAACATCACACCATTTGGACGGATGTGTCACGCGCAGGACGCGGACCAAACGAAGGCATGCCCTGATTGGTCAAAATACCAGCCAATCCGGATTGGGTATCTATGACTCGACAATTCTCGCCCCCTCACTAAGATTCTAGCAGGACCTTGTGGAACACTCTGTGATTATCTTATAAATACAGTTGTAATAATTTTCCTTTGTCTCCATAAAGGGCTGTCCAGAGTTACTGTGCTTTTTGATGTACCATAGTGGGCGGAGCAGGAAGCCAAGGGACCGATATAGAGTTGCACTACCGTTCAGCAAGACACAACAATAAACTATCCATCGGGAAGATCAGACTTCTGAAAGTAACCACCGAATGCCCGAAATCTACTGAGATCCTCAATCCCACTAGATGTTGACCAGACAGACAACGTCCCCTCAATAGGCAGCGCGTGACAGGCTTGTATTAAAGCCAGACAGCGCGGGTCAGCGTTGCAACAAGGTCAGACAGCCTCCCTCCAGTAAAATAGCTACGGACAGGAAAGTCCGCGGTTCGAACCAGGTCCAAGCCTGCTGATTTTTCTTCTAAGCCATGGGAGTAACTCAGCCCCGCAATTCCTTCGAAATGCGTGGCAGCTAGGTGTCGGAATGACGCACTGGCCGAACGATGATTGTCCTATGCAGGCAAGAAATCGGAGATGGATGAAATATTTAATTGAATGACAAGAGAAATTCAAGACAGACACAAAATTGACGGGGAAAGTCCGAGTTTTTTAACCCGGTAATAATTTATAGTCCAAGGGTACTACTAATATTATGAGTATTATTTGCAGAGAACAAACAAAAAATGATGCCATTAAATCACAAGTGAACAGAAAAGCAAGGGTTATCAGTCCAAAAATACAGAAACCCCCTAAAAATAGTCTGAACTATGTACGATTCTATTGTTGGAACACATAGATAGGGTTTGGTCTTCGAATTTGAGCAAAAGGAAGAGATTGGTGAATGCCTGAATGGTCCGACAGCAGTTAGCATATCACACACTGTTGTAAGCAAGAAACATCAGGTCCATAAAAATCGTAATTAAAAACATTGTGAGTAGTCACGTGACCGAAGGGGACAGACCAATATCGCAGGTAATACTTGGAAGCACTCCAGAATAGGAAACCGAATCAGTACTGGTAGTGGGAGTAGCCTGGATGGCATGAATGAACCAATGAGAACACAAAAAGACTCCACGTTCACGTGTATCTACAGGTGCATGTTTGTGCCTGGATTATTTACTACCCTTCGTCTGACCTTCACAGCCATTAAACAATTCACGGAAATACCATGGGAGCCCGGCAGACTTGGATTCCGAGTGGTCCTGCAGAAAAAGTTCCATGGTACACATGGTTATGGAGCGTAGTTCGGTTAACGCCATGATGATTCGCGGCCAACACTGTTGTGTCCCAGTAGGCTTAGGGTTCTGTCGAATGTGATTGACGTAGCGGTTGAACGTCTCCATGAAAACATTCTGAGTCTTTTCCACTGCTTCCGAATCCTTCAAATTGGCACGATCTAAGAGACAGGCGAAACGTGAGAAAAGAGCATCGACAAGGAGTAGGAAACCATTTACACTTGAGCTACTAAGAGATTTCAGTAGCACAAAAACACCATAAATATTTTGGCCGTCCAGCTGTAGTATTTGTGGGCACAAATTTATCCGTTATGTCCACAGTTCTACAACTTTGCAGCACAAATTACTAATCCAGAGAATGCTACTAAGAGAGTAGCACGAAAACACCACAAATATTTTTGTCGTCCAACCGTAGCATTTGTGGGGCACAAATTTATCCGTTATGTCCACAGTTCTACAACTTTGCAGCACAAATTACTAATCCAGAGAATGCTTTGCCAGACTTAGCAACCAGGAACTAACACAGCTGAATGGCACCTGGCGCTGACTATCCAGCTCTTTAATGAAAATTTGTGGGAAATAATGCAAAGAAATTACAAAAACAGGTTTAGTCACATTTACGCAAGGATGGAGTACGGATAGAGTAGTTTATCTGTGTCCTTCTGCTTGCTCTTTCATGTCTCGACTTGGGCTGATCAAAAATACCATTTTAATACTGGCGATCGAGATTACTGGAATAATTTACTGACAGATATTTTGTGCTCATATCCTTGCCCCCAACCTACGGCAACCAGGAGGCAGCGACAGAAGCGGTTTACCTTGAAATACCGGCTACGCTTAGGATTGTTAGGCGAGCTGTAGGTCTTTCCCTCAGATATACTCACAGGAATGCTTCACGCTATTACGACAGAGATGGGAAAGTAGACGACTGGCGATGTTTAGTGTTTGTGTTGATGAATTACTACTAATTTGTGTTGATTGTTTGTGCAACGAACGAGTCTCTTACTGTAGATGTGGATTCTGTATCGGACAGGATACCTTATACGATCAGGTATTTCAAAGGTACGTGACCACTGTGAAAAACGCAGTACGGTTGAGTCGCGGCGCAATCTCGTGAGATACCTAATCGGTTCTCTGAAACTACTTCTCAGTTTACAAACCAGAGCTTGCCGTTGCAACTGGATCATTCAACACTCAGTCAGTCAGACAATCACTCGTCGAACAAGTGTCCATGGGCTAAGCAGTTTAGAAAGCGAGTGACGGTACCAGGCTACGGCAGTGAAGCATGATGTTGCTGTCTTAAATGATGATGATGATGATGATGATGATGATGATGATGATGATGATGATGGTGATGATGATGATGATGATGATG